CTTTGATCTCAAATATTGTAGTTGATCCTGCCCTTCTGATTGAACATTGAAGGGCTCTATTATTTTTTTGGAATAATGGAGACATGTATTAGTTGCGTTGGATATAAATATATTTTGTATTAGAAAAATTTTAGTTCAGTACTCCACGTATACCGTAGTTAGGTCCTAGTTTTATTTTGCTGATGTATAATATGCTGGTGTGGAGTTATTCTCTTTTGCTAGGTTAATTGACTAGCTTCACTATTGTAAGAATTTCGAAAGGTCCAAATTATAGGGGAGGTTTTGTCAAAATTTCTATAAAATATTTAAGATTTTTTTAACCTTATAATTATATATATAAAATTAATTATTGATATTTTAGCTTAATATCATACAATTAAGACTTATAACATATGAGGTTATCTCATATTTTGTGCCAGTCATACCCTTAGTATCGAAGTATAACATTAATTATAAATGGAGTGAGGTTATAGGATTTAAAAGTACTTAACAATACTTATTGGGAGTTTATGAAAGTTACAAACACTTATTATAATTTATGGATAGAAAAGTTATGGAGATAGCAAGGGTTATGGAGATGGAGCACCCAATTCTATCTCATTCTCTCCGGGTTGGACATGACTTGCCCTCTAGTCAAATTCAACATCATCACTGAAATACAGAAATTGATGAACAACTTTGAATCATAAAGACTCTACAAATACCAAGAAATTCTACTTTCTCTACATAGGTTGATATGTCACTGATTGGACACATTAGGATGACAAGTTGTTGACATGATCATCTTTAACATCAATCAAACATGTGGATAATTTTTAGTCCTGGGTTTTTGGACCTTCTAAGCATGATGGTAACTTGTGTTTCACTTGAAATTGATCAACAACGAGTGTTCAATGATGGCAGTGGCAAACTAACCTATATAACCTCACTTTTTAGGCCAAACTCATACCTCCTCATCTCTTAGTCACTCTCCATCAGACTTGGGTCCCTGCTCTAATACCAAACTAGCTCAAGAGACAAGGAAAAAAGAGAGAACACTCTCACTTTGATAACAAATTGTATTATTGTTTTGTGATCCCGAATACAATGAAATAGGGGTTATTTATACTAATCTCAAGCAAACAAGAAATTATTGCTAATGGAGAGGTTATGGAAGAACTTAATTCTAAATGGAGGGGGTGACAGGATTTTAAAGTACTTAACAACACTTATTGGGAGCTTATGAAAGTTACAAATACTTATTATAATTCATGGATAAGAAAGTTATGGAGATAGTAGGGGTTATGGAGATGGAGCACCCAATTCTGTGTCATGCATGTTCTATATTACATTAAATATCTTGCAATACTTCCACAAATGTGAAGAACTAATACAAGCATTTACTATAGTTGCTCTCATGCTTCTTAGAATAATAGGAAGAATTTAGCGGAAATCACCTCTTGGTAAAACTATCTTGCCACAAAAAATATGACTTGAATACATTATGTCACATAAAGTATAATCCAAAGCTTTAATACCATATCTTTGAACCATAGGAGCTTCATCCCAAATAATTAATTTTGTGCACCGGATAAGATGGGCTAATAATGGAGAGTTTTGTTTAATGCCACATATAGAGTCTTCATTCATTTGAATAGGAATAGCAAACCTTGAATGTGCTGTCCTATCCTATCCGATGGCAATAATGTAACTATAGTTCCACTGGAAACAACAACAATAACAATGTCTCCTCTTGAAGAAAGAGTTGAAGTTAAAGCATTTCACAAGTATGTTTCCCTGGTCCTCCAAATCCATTGACAAAAAAGAAATCACCATTTGAGAAGGACAACAAATTCATCATATGATTAGGCCAACAAATTCATGACACTATCAAAGACGTGCTTTTGCTTATCTGTCAAAGAATTGATCAAAATACTTGATTCATTTTGCAACGCAGCATGATCATAACTCAATTTCTGTAAAATTAGATAGTTTGCAACATCAATTATGGGGCTAGAGGAAGGGAAAGGAATTGAAGGAGAGTTCCGTAAACTTTTCCATTTCGCCATAATAGTTTGCAACATCAATTCTAGCAAACGCAAACTCATTCCCGCACACGAAATGTAAAGCATTTTTAACCAAATCTCACTCCTTAATAAAATAGTTATCTACTTTTTAACTAATCCTATTTTTTTATATTTACCTTTACAAAACATCCTACAATAAATATAAAGTCATTATCAATAGGGACAATTTTGAAAAAAAACAATGATTATATCTCAAAAAATTAAAAATACCTTACATTTTTTACCATCAAACTCCTCAAAAAAATACTTTATATTTTTGAACAGAGGGGGTATCTTTTAGAACAACTTCCTTGTTAGAATGTGATATATTAACACCTACAATAAAGAAAAAGTAAGTAGTTATTGTAGAAAGTAAGAAACATAATTAATTTCCAATTTATAATTATGCTTAGTTGAAAAAAAAGGGGGGGGTCATTATGTGGTATGTAAAGCATATCTTCATAAAGAATTTTAGAAGTTTGCTCCCACACAAATTTGGGTTGACTAATTAAGGCATGAATATATTAGCTTGCCAACAAACAACCTTCTCAATGAAGGCTCAAATGCCCGAATTGATGCCTCCTTTAAAGCATTTATGCACTCCTTATCATCGTTCAACAACCCAATAGCAAAGCATGCATCCCTAAATGTGAGATAGATGACACCATCAACTATTCTGATCTTTTCAAATGATCATGAACCTTTAACTTTGCTCAAAAGCACATGTAGGTAGTAAAGTTTCCTTGATGATGGTCCAACATGAGCAATTTTACCAATGAGAAATCCCTGTTTCCTTCATTTCCAAGCTCATTTATTCCTTTGATAAACAAAATAATGAGGAAATTCAAAATATATAGGTTTTACAAATATTAACATTACGTTAAAATTTAGGAATAATATATATATTTTAAATTAATAAAGTGTTTAATCTTTAAAAGTTATAAAGATTAAAATTTTAAAATATTTGTAGTCTTTATAATTTTTAAATAAAGGGACCAATATTTTAAATTATTAAAATTATAAGGACTGAGTTGCAAAAATTATGGTTCATGAATTAAGTTACAATTGAGTCAAAACTATATAAACTAAATTATAACAAGTTAAAATTGAGGGACTAAGTTACAACCTAATTAATACCATAGAGACCAAATAATTAATTTTCTTAAAAGATTATAATAGTCTCATTATATTGTACATTTTTTTATTAGAATTGATGTCTATATTTATATTTATAGTTGTGTATTTATATTTACGTACATTTAAAAAAAAAATGCAACTGATCACCACATGCAATCATTTTTCCATTGTTGCAGTTTGCAGCGTCGACGATGTGCGATTGGAGATAAGAGAAGGATGAGGGTTTGATTTGTCCAACACGAAAGGTGCATCCCTTTCTTTTTCAGGCTTCACCATCTCTAATACCATTGATACTTAATTGAAAATCAATCAATAGAAAAACATACAAAATAAGCTTCTTCATAGATATCAATAATTGAAATCTTGGTAATGTATAAAGATAAAAATAAAATATCTGACGACTTGCTTTTAACTTTACAAAGAAAGAAAAAGAAAAAAGAAAGAACATTTATAGCTTCAATTTAAAAAAAAAAAAAAAGATGCAATAATGAGGAGAAAAATGTTGGTTGATGGCTCATATCGCTTCGTAGTGTATATTTTTGTTTTGTTTTTTTTTTTACAGTATATATTTCTTTTCTTTGACCTTATCGCGCTTGTTATCAGACAAATAAAATGTTGCAAATGGAAGTGCATTCATATACGAATCATAAGTTCAAGGGAAAATTCATATATTTAAATGAATCTGGCGTGGTGCTCTATATTTACAGCATTATAGAAAAAGAACATATGACAACGCGCACATGTGTGTTTGTGTGTGAATTTACTTAAAAAATAAGAAAAGAAATGAAACTTGATGTTAATTAAAATATATATTATCATGAAAGAAATTGATGATACTAAACCGAAATCAGATCACTACATGATATAGCAGAAAACATTTCGTACTATTAGACGTTTTCTTTAGATAATTATTGACCATATATTTATTGCGAAGATTGTTTTCACAATTTTTGTAATTTAATTCTAGTCACATCAAAATCATGTTGATATTAATCCCTAAATATATGTTGTCAAGATCACTTCTTTCATGGCAATAGTTTATCTTGGCAACAATTTTTTTTTTTTGGCCAATTATCTTGGCAACATTAATACCACATTTATTCAACATATTTCTATGCGAACTTGTGTGTTGCCAGTTTTGAATTTAATGAGCATTTTAATGTGCATATTATTGCATGACTGTGTTATAAGGGCAAATTTTTGAAGCGTAAACTTCTATACATTAAAAATATGTAAATGTGCACGAGAATACCATGATATATGCTGCAAGTTTTTTTGGGTATCATTATTTCCTTAATCTTCATGCTTATTCTAAGAGAATTTTATTTAATTTCTCAATATAATTCGCAAATTACTTATCTTTTTTTTCGTTGAAAATATTTCAAAAATTACGTATGTACAATTTTTTTGGGCCGAAATCTATAAGCGCTTGATCTTGTATGCTACAAGACAATAGCTCATGTTGCCAAAATTACTTCTTCCATGGCATTAATTTATCTCGGCCACATATTTTTTTTTTGTACATTTTTTTTATAAGATATATTAACACCGTACGTATTTATTCAACAAATTCATATAGACGTTTGTTTATGTTTGAGAGTCAACCTTGCGTGTGACTAGTTAGTAATTCAGTAAGTATTTTGGCATTAACATGAATGTATCAGCGAGAAATTTTAAATGTAAAACTTAAAAAAATTTCAAACCACAAATTTTTGTTTCTTATAATTTAAATTTATTCCGGATTTTATATCAATTTTGGCAGGTTGATGATCAATTCGGAAACTTGATTTCTCTTTTAATTTCATACCAAACCAAGAATTAGTTAATCCATTTTCCAATATATATAGTCAGTCTTGTTTTTCACCTGTTACATCCAGTATCCACAAAATTTAAAGTTATTGACACATTTTAAAAACAACAAACGAAAACAAAAATTCATAATCTAAACACTCTTTTCTCCCTCTCCACATATCCAAATTCCTCCGGTTTCTTGTACCTGATTGCTGATTTCTGTGTCTCTCGTCTGTCTCGGCGATGAACTTAACTCAGAATTGAAGTAGCTGGAACATCAAGAGTGGTTCCTGCTTGGATTTGGCCCCACCCAATCAGACGCCAATGCTTCTCGACACGCCTGCTCAGAGCAATCTTCTCCCCCCTGGAGGTGCACACTGGGGAAGTCAGATGTAACTTTGCCAAATCATTCTTCACAGCAAGGACTCTAGCCCCTGTTGACATTGATCCTATGTTCAACATTAGGATCTCTGCTTTGGCCAGCTTGGATACCCTTCCTTGCCTCTCCGATCCTTTTGTCCGGACACCGAGAAGCCTTCGTAGCAAGAAGAAATTCACCTACAAGACACACCATACCACAGCATCACAAAATTTAGCTGTGAATACTTTTCAAGATATGGTAATGGAAGCATCATAAAATTAGTGTTAAAGAGGTTGGCAATAACATCCAAAGGTTGTTGGGCTTTGAATGGAACGAATTCAATTCCAACATAGCAACATTGAGGATTCAAATTTTATGACAAGTCTTATCCCACTAAGGCTGACCATGTGGATTGCCATTGTACCCTGAGCATTCAAACTTCATGGATGGAAAAAATTATGTTGAGAGAACCATTCCAAATTAAGCTCAATAATTCTCAAATCTAATACAGTAAAGATGTTGACAACAGAAATTCTCCAACCCAACACTGTACAATTTGCCATAATCAGAAGATTTTGCGAGCTCTTCAAAATTTTTAGATCTCAGATGTTCTTAGTTATGACGTAGATTTCTTTATTTCATGTTTTGCTTCTGTTTCTTTTGTTAGTGCTAGATTTAGTTTCTCTCATTCAGGCATGGCTCAGAGACGTATATTGCTGTAACTTATCTTTTCACCTTTTTTAATATACTTGATCTGTTTATTAAAAAAGACAGTATGAAAAAAAGTATTAAATGATCTTACTTTCGTCTTAGTGTACATTGTGCACAAGTCAACCAAATTGACAAGCAAGGTGATGTGTAGATGAAGAAATCGTGAAACACAATATCCCATTACCAGACTACCCTCAAGAATTTCAATACTTTCAACCCAAAATTTCATTCCATGCTTGGACTGATAAGCCATAAGAAAAAGGCACCAACCTCAAGTTCAACATAAATCTCAGGCAGTGATCCAACCTCTCCAAGAACTTGGCCCACCAATCTGTCAGCACGCGTCAACGTGGGATCCATGGTTGTGCCAACACCAATTAGACCTCCAGGCACAGCAAATTGAAGATCATTTTGTTCAGCGTATAGTGAAACTATTCTAGAGTATATGGGCGTGCATCTTATATTCCCACTCTCATCCTTGACAACTATTCCAGGTCGAACTTCAATGAATTGGTTTACCTTCAAAACACCCTGTAATGAAAAGATAGTTAGATGTGATCTTTACAAGCAAGTTGTAAAACTATTCCCGCATTGTTACAACATATAGTCACGCTGGGGATTTATCTAGGATTCTGAGGATATCAAACTATCTTGCTAAAACCAATTCTATGTCTGGTAAATGATTTTTCAACTGAGTTTCTTGGAAATTAAATTTTCCTAGAAAATTAGTCATTCACAAATTTGGGTAAATTCTTACCAAATATTACATCAAATGTTAGATTTCCCATCATATTAAGAGATTTTAATTTCCTTTATTGCTAATTGGAAACTCCGGCCAGATGAAACACACTATTCCTGGGAAGTATATGAGTTGGGTTTATACACATGGTAGATTAAAAATCTCCAGAATAAACACCTCAAGGATTTTGTCAAGATTATGTGTACAACTAGTGGCCAAAAGAAGAAAACAGGAGGAAAAAATATAACATGTACCGCTAAAATTTCACGCAAAGAATGATGTGCTGCTAATTATTAATTTGTGTGTGAATGATATGCTGATTAAACAACAGTGCCACTAGGCTCTCAAGCATCAACCTTGTATTTCACATATAAAAAATTTCCCTCTGCATGTATAATCAGTCTCAACATTCTGCAGAGATAATGCAAAAACATGTTTGTCCAGAATCATTCATGTGAAATAGTTAAGTAGACTAAAACGTTTTGAAAACTATATGGCACTACAAATGCATTTAGACAAACATCATTCACTTGGCCCAAAACAAAAAAAAAAAAAAAAAGACAAATATAATTCAGAAATTAATTGGAAGAGTAAAACCTCAGTATAAAAGAATAAGAGTAATGCCTCAGCAGCATTGAATCATATTGATGACCAAAAAGGACTCACCCTGAGTATGCTTCCACCAGCTACACCTCCTTTAATTTCATCAACTTCAAACCCAGGCTTATTGACATCAAAAGATCGGATTACGATCATATTAGGTGGAGAGACAAAGTTTCTTTCAGGGATTGGGATCTTTTTCACAATGTATTCACAGACAACATCAATATTATACTTCAGCTGAGCTGAAATGGGAACTACGGGCGCACCATCAGCAACAGTTCCCTGCACAGGAAATAGAGACAGAAGTATGTAGGTACCTGAAAAGTGCAAAGTTACAGAACAGCAGTTACAGTACTACCTAGTAAAAAAAAAAATCAGTTAAAAGAAAGTTACTTGTATAAACTTCTGAATTGCTTCATGCTGATTGACAGCCACATTTTCTTGAATCAGATCAACCTTATTCTGAAGAATTATTATGTGTTGTAAACGCATAATTTCCACAGCAGCCAGATGCTCAGAGGTTTGTGGTTGTGGACAGCTCTCATTTGCAGCAATAAGTAATAAAGCTCCATCCATGATTGCTGCTCCGTTAAGCATTGTAGCCATAAGAATATCATGGCCCTGTACAAATTGGAAATAAGAAACAAAAATCACATGGACAAAAAATATCAAGCAGACACTATGGAGAGAGGTTCCTGATTTTGCTTGGAAGTTGGAACTTAGTTTGTCATGGTATATCCGAAACTGTTCACCCACTTTGCAAGTTATTAAGCAGGGTTTAGGCCCTCGTTCATCATCAAAATAAATAAATAAAATAAAATCAAGCAGCTGCAAATACATGAAATGAATGCTCGTTATAATAACCATACCTGACTAATTATAAGAACATTCAGAGAACTATGAAAGAGTGTGCCTAATTCATGAATGTTGTAGCTGTTTTTCTTTGTTGTTGCTACTGTTTTTTTTTTTTTTTTTTTTTGATGGAGGAATGTCGTAGCTTTGAAACTGCCTATGATGGTAAGTAAAAGCTACAAATCTATAATCAGTATACAGGATATTATTCTAACACTTTAAATTCTAGGTCCTTTTCTGAGAGACGTCAAGGGGATCTTTTCACAGCCACACTTTCTTGACCTAAGCACTAAATTATCTTTAACTTGCGTAACTACAGTTTCTGATTATCATCATTTTTTTATTTAATCTGCATCAAAATTTTCATTACATGTTAAAACCAATTTACAGAAGATAAATAAAAAATCAAGGGAGATACAAAACATAACCCTGAATTTAATGAAATTATGATACATAAAATATGCCAATAAATTTAAAAATGGCAGCTTACAGGGCAATCCACAAAAGAAACGTGTCTCAGCAATTTCATCCTGCAGTTTTCAAATCCTGGCACATCACACATAGGACTATCTTCTTTTCCACTTCCATATGCCCTGAAAATCCAATTTGAGCACAACATTGGAAGCTAGATATCAACTTGAGTATAAAAGCACTTGCAAAATATATACCCACTCGTAGCACATGGGTCTAGGACATCGTTCATCTTCGCACTTGTATATCTTTGCATTTGCATATCCAAGCTTGATTGTAATGTTACGCTCCAACTCACTTTTAAATCGAACAGTCTGCATATTCATGGGAAACCAGAAGCAAAACCTGATTAAAATAAGTATCCAAAGTACAGGAAATAAATACAAGTAATACAATCTGAAACAATCACATAATGCTTTGTTGCTTCAGAATTCAAGAGGGGTAAATGAAAAAGATTGGTACAAGCAATTTCTATATATATTCTAGACAATATAGTCACTCCAAATTAACAAGACAGGTACAAGGAGAAGAAAATCATATTTATTGGAGGGGAGTAGCCTAACAAATCCTTGACTAACTAAAGTCCATTTACTAAAACAAAGAGTCACTCCATGATTCCACGGGAGGTATCTCACAATAAACAAGCTTCATATATCCACCCGGACCTTGTACTGAAATAAGGAGTTAAATGGTAAATTCTAATTATTAGCAACAACCTTCATGATGATCAGAAAATATTGCATTCAACTAGAACGTTGAAAATAATTACCAAATCTAGCTCTTGTCATCAATGAAACACAAGATCAAAAATCAACCACAAAGTATGGCAGAAACTCATTATATTCTCATGTCCCAATTTCCCAGTTTCAGCAAAAGCCAAAAGGACTTCCTAAATGTTGTCGCTTTATTTTTCTCCAAGCATATCTTTATAAAAGGACTTCCTAAATGTTGTCGCTTTGTTTTTCTCCAAGCATATCTTTATAACATGTAACGGCAAGGAGAGGCAAAAGAAATAAAAAAGTGCAACCAAAATGCATGTGCCAAACCAAAAAAAAAAAAAATCCCTAGTCCTTAGTGGACTAAACAAAATGGTAAATAAGAAATTATACGATAAAGATAATTCAAGATACCACTTGCAAACAGGAACTAAAGTATTGAATACAGAGCATTGCTTCCCATGCACCACCCTCAACATTAAACAGAAAAATAAAATGAATAAATGAACACCTGAACACCTGATATTGCTTTAACAACTGTTGACTTGCCATGGGCGACATGGCCTATGGTTCCTGCCAGGACATAATTACAATTTCATTCATCAGGAGTCAAAAGTTGGATATATAAAGCAGTCACCCTTAGATAATTTGTTTGAGGGAAAACATAATCCTTAATCCTCATAATTTTATCGGATTTTGCTTTTAATTCATGTAGCCTTTTTTTCCAGTGTTTTCAATCCTTATAGGGACTCAAAACACTTAAACTATAGGGACTTAAATGAAAAACGTCACCCAAACCATAAGAACTAAAACACTAGGAAAAAAAAAACTACAAGGATTAAAAGCAAAACCCAATAAAAATATAGAGACCGATGATTGTGTTTTCCCTTTGTTTTTATAACATTAAAAACAGAGATAGATAGATATTAATTTTGGTTCGCTTAAGACTGACAAATATCATGTAAATGAATCAAACAAATTTGGAATAATAAATACCAATATTAATGGTAGCCTGCCGAGATATGACTTCAGGAGAAAGTGGATGCAATTTTGTTACATCCAGTTTATTCAGATCTTGTTCCATCAAACCTTTCCGTGACATTTTGGATGCTTCCAACAGAAACTTCTATAAATAATGAAATCAATTTTGTGAATAGATAATTTGGATATTTTCAAGAGAAACTTCTAAACATGAATATACACCTTAATCTCTCAGCAATAAACCATAATTGAATAAAATACTTATTCTTATTCATTATTTTCCTCGAAAAGTATGCACATTGTCTATAAGGTCCCATAATCAGACAATTATTCAAAATAATGAATCAATTCATCATCCAAGATTCACAATAGCACATGTTAACAACTTAAATATCATGAAGAAACAATGTAACTGTTTATTAATTTCAACTTGTGATGAAATTATTACTTCATTATTTAATCAGTTGGTAGACATCCCAGAATTAGTACAAGCACTTAGAAAAAGATTTCCTGAAGTGATATAATGCCGAAGATCCAGACAATTATTTCTCTCCATAACAAAAATCTCTTTTCTTTCATCTTCCTCGTCCTTTGAAAATCCCCAGGGTGAAATAAACATAACTCTATCCGTTGACTGAATTTTGTCTTGAAAGTGTGTCACTTGGGAAAGTACAGGCAGCACAGAAATGGATCCTCTCATATTGAGAAGGGTAAATGACCTCACGTTGGCCACATCTTCACAAACCAAATAATAAAATGCTCCGAAAAATGCCATGTCAAATAAACAAAAGGCGCCCATGTCATATTGTTTCTCAATGGTTTTCCATCTATCCAACCTGATCCCATTTTCTAGAGAAATTGGTGGCATGCAAAGGGGGGTTGGTTCATGCAGAAAAGAAGACAATGAGGAGCTTTCCTTTCTTTTGATGACATGTGACATGAAACTCCCTTTGTCAGGCTCTTCTTATTCAATCTTCTCCTCCACTTCCAGATTTGGTGTCAATACTGTTCTTTTTTCTTTAGTTGTGAAATTTTGAGAAATGAGACACCCATTTTCAAATATCTGGAACCCCATTTGCCAAATAAAGGAGATGCACAGGTTTGTCTCATCAACTGAACAAGATTGATTTGTGATAAAGGATAACAGTTACAAACAATTTCACACCATAAACACCATAGTATGAGAGGAGGGACACCACTACTGGAACGTTTTGCTTATAGTTTTTTACAAAGTTGGTTTTGTTCCCCAGCTTTTGAATGCTTGGACTTCTTAAATTTCTATTGTTTAAATTCATAGAATTTAAGTTTAGCAACTAGCATTCATTGTGTTAACTTTTTCAATCAGGCAACAAATCCAGTTGTATTACTTACAAGAAAAATCCTTTATGCATAATCAAAGCTTTGTTTGAGGAAAATAATATTTTTGGATCACTTGTGACTTCTCATCTGTCCTAACTCCAAATTCTCTCTACAGAAGCTAGTTTATGTGGACAGTTGGGTAAACTTTGACCTTGGGGGCTCAACTTAAGTTTAGGGGATTGCATTTCTGAAAATGGAATTTATTTTAGGGTGACAAACAAAGAGCATATGATGTTGGCATCTTAACAAATTAAGAGCACAAAGCAGCCAGTCCTCAAACGCGAGCTTGAACAAGTTTAATAGCAGCAAGAGCTCAAGAGATCAGAGATTTTAAACTTGTGGAGCTTATGATAGACAGGATACAAAATGCAATGCTCTAGAGGGAACTTATGAATTATATTTGGCTATGGGTGCTTTCTTTGGATGGCATTTTTTTAATCAATAGATTAATTGAAAAGTGTATATGTGGCCAACACGAGAGTCATTTCCCTCGTCAGAATTAGAAGACCCATCCAAAGATGTCATAAAGTTTGTAACAAGTAAAAATCAGAAATTAGACGAATTGGACATTTGGCAATATGTACTCTTGAAAATATTAACAATCAGAGGATACCACACTGGAGACTTTCTACTGCACCTTAACCATTCTTCACATCTAAGGACATTTCAAAATGTCGTGTCAGTAAATAGGCGCGCAACGATTATACAAAAGGCCGCCCGGAGAGCATCCGGAAATGCTAATAGTAACAGATGAGAGCCACAAAGGGCAGGGCAAATGACATTACGCAAGCCAAACGATGGTAAGTTACGAGAAAACTTGACTAGGAAAGAGGAAGAGAAAAAATCAGGATCAAGTTTGCCCAAGCGTGACAGACAAAGATTATACCTGAGAGAAGCTTCAGCTCGTCGTTCGTGATATCGGCGGCCGCGGAGGCGGTTGAGAGAGACACCTGGAACGTTGGTTTAGAATCGAAAACGGAGGAGGCGGCCGGAGAAGTAACTAGAAGGAGTGGCAGTACAAATTGGGCAGCGAGAGACGGTGGCTCACCAGCGCCTGAAGCCTAGGCAGGGGATCCCTACACCCTAGCACACGGACGCAGGGCACAAAATAAAGTTCAAAAAAAAAAAAAGCCTTTTCACGGTAATATTGATATTCAATATTTAATATTTAATAAAACACTTATCACCAAAAAAAAAAAAATTGAACATTAAGGATCTGTTTGTTTTCTGCTCTTATTTTTTGTTTTCAAAAAATTGTTTTATAATATAATTTTGAAAATTGTTTTTCAAAACAAAACAAAACAAAAATCCATTTAATTATATTAATTTAAAAACAGTTTTAAAATTAAAAAATAATCTCATAATGATGATTATAGGTAGTTAATGATGGAGATTTATGATAAACATTGGTCAACATAATTGTAATTTTTAATAATCAAATGTAGTATATTGTAAAAATAAGAAAAATAAAATGAAAACAACTTAAAATTTTTTTATTTTTTTGTTTTTAAAAACAAAAAGTTGAAAATAGTTTTGTAAACAAGTAAATAGAAAACATTTAACCAAACAAGTTTTTAAATTTTTTATCTTCAAAAACAAAAAACAGTTTTTAAAGATAGAAAACAAACGAACTCTAAATGTGTGTTTGGAATTTGAACAGGGCTTTGGAGATTCTAAAAAATCCTCACAAGTAGCAATTGAAGTACATTTGGCAAGTGTTTGGAGAGCATTTTATTCCTGGATGTACATTCTAAAAGTTTCGTTTTTCCGTTTGGTTTTTCCACATGCCACTTGTTGAAAGTACTTTTGCATTTTCAGAAGCACTCAGAATGGAGGATGTTGTTTGTATGACACTCTACTTTTTTAAATCAGTTATTTAATTATTTTACTATGGTATGATGGTAGATAAAACAAAACTTAATCTTTTAAAACACTTAACTTAATAGAAAAGTATTTATCATGATAAAAAGAATAACAGCTACTTTTATAAAATTTCTATTGTGGTAATAAAGAGTTTATCATAGTAGAAAGAATAACTTATCTTTCTTAAAAACACTATACCATAGTAGGAAAAATTTACTACAGTTAAAAAAAATCAACTAATTTTACAAAGCCTTACAAGGTAGAAAATGATTTTTTTAATTAGTAATAGAATTAATGAGCAAAATAAACTCGAAAGTATTGCCTGAAAAACGCCTTCAGCCCTGAACTCATAAAATGTGCAAAATAAATTTTAAACTTTTAAATTCGTAACAAAATAAGCCTTGATTGTTAAAATTTTTTAATGTCATTACTATTCATGCGATACTGTTCACCATGGATCCCAGTTAATGCTAACTTGTCATTATGAATTAATACCATAGAGCTTATGTTAGTAGCTTTTTGGATCTTAAACTTTAAAATTTTGAGCAAATTACTCCCATCATTTATGTATAGAACGTTGATTATTATATAAACTAAATTAGCCTCAGCATAGTTTGCCGCAATAAATGCATAATTGGCCATTGCAAACGACCTATAATTTTGTGAAATGATATTTTTTGCAATATTTTTCAAACAATTGGTATCGCATGCTTTCGTATACGCTATAATTCTAATTTAATATTATTTTGAATAATGTTTATTTATTCAAAAGTGAAAACTTAGGATCCCATTTGAAAAGAAGTTTAAATATTAGATAATTTTAATTAATTGATTAATTTGAGTTTTAAATTCATTAATGAAATCATCAGCTTTCGCATCCATCACCTGTAAAATCCCACGATACTTAAACTTCTTGTCAAATAAGATCCCAAATTTTCACAATTAAATAAATAAATATTATTCAAAATAAAACTAAATCAGAGTTATAGATTATACGTAAGCATGAGATACCAATTATTTGAAAAACATTGCAAAAAAAGGGAGCAAAAAATGTCATTTCATAAAATTATGGATCGTTCGCCACAGCAAATGATGCATTCACCACAGTGAACCATACTAGGGCTAATTTAATCTACATAATAGTCAATATTCTAATACATAAATGGTGGAGGTAATCTGCTCAAAATTTCAACGTTCATGGTCTAGAATACTATCAACATAATAGTTTAGAGTTCAGAATGCTACTAACATAATAGTTTAGGGTCTGTGGTGCTAATTCACAATGACACATCAACATCAACTAGGGCTCACGATGAATAATACCTCGTGAACAGTAATAATGTTAAAAAATTTAATGGTCAGGGTTCATTTTGTTACGAATTTAAAAGTTCAGGATTTATTTTATACATTTTAAGAGTTCAGGGTTGAAGATGCTTTTTAGGCAATACTTCAAGATTTATTTTGCTCATTAACCCTTAATAATAAAACAATTTCATAGCCAATCACTATAGTAGAAAAGAATAAAATTTATTAAAATAGGCATGCCATGATAAAAAGAGTCTACGATGATAAAAAGAATGAAACTTGTTAAAATAGTAAAACTTATTAAAATAAACCCACCTTGATAATTAAAAGTTTACTAAATAATAAAAGGTTAAGGTGCATTTTTATTCCTGAACTTTTTTTTTAGGAGCATTGGGTACCCTGTATTGATAAATAGAGCAATTTTTCCTGAACCATTTTTCCAAGGAGCAAAACACCCCTTCTATTAATCAGGCATTAACTTTGCCATTTTTTGCTAATGTGGCATATGTGTAGGGCTCATGCAAAGTGATAATTAAAACTTTAACAATGTCATTTAATGTTAATTTGTTTCTAAACTCTTTTTCCATGAATGCTAGATATCCTAAAATCTTTTTTTAGAAGCACTGGGTACCTTAAAGTTTTGTTAAAATAAACTTTAATAAATATTTCTAAAATATAGAATATTTTGATATTTAATAATCTAAATATTATTGTTTATAAATATTCATCTAAAATTTATAAATTATTTTTTTAAATATTAACAATTCAAACTAATTTTTCATACATTTATAAATGACTTGTTATTTTTATATATTGATCTCTAAGTTTCTATTTGAGAGAATGCCCAAATTATTACATCTTTCATGCAAGTCAAAACTTACCTATATTTTTATATTGATTAAGTTTCTTAAATTTTTAAGCCATTTTCTATATCTTTTTTGTCAACTAACAATTTTCATCCAAAATATTGCATTGTCCAAATTTAATACTTTTTGTAATATGTAATCTTAAGGGTAAAATCATAAATATGACATTTTAGGACCAACAATATGCTAACAAAAATGTTTATATGGAAGATATCACCTGTCTCATTAATGTGCTATAAAAAAGTTACTTAATAAGATAATTATGTAGAGATGATGGCAAAAAATCCTGCTATTAACTTGTAGGCTCATTCCATATTTTTAATACAAAATTAAAAATATGAAAAATATTAAAATATTAAATTGAGTGGTGTAATTTTTTGAAAGAAAACAGTTAGTTGATTAAAAAAAATATAGAAAATTTTCTAAAGAACTCAATCAATATTAAAATTATGATAGATATATAAAATATTACAAATCATCTATAAATTTTTAAAAAATTAGTTTGAGCTGTTAATATTCAAAAAATAATTTATAAATATTGGATAAATTTTTATAAATTGTATTATTTAAATTATAAAATATTAAAATATTTAATATTTTAACAATATTTATTAAATTTTATTTTAACAAAATTTTAAGGTGCCCAATGCTCTTAAAAAAGGACTTTAGTATGCCAAACATTCTTAGAAAAATAATTCAGGGGTAAATTATTACTAAAAGATATGGTCAGAGTTTTACTTATCACTATGTGTGGGTCCACACACATGTCATGTCAACAAAAAAGGAAAAGTTAATTGTTGTTTAATAGAAGGGGTTTTTTACTCCTAAAATTGTCCATTTATCAGTATAGGATGCCTAGCGCTCCTCAAAAGAAAATTCAAGAATAAATATACACCTTGACCCAATAATAAAAGTGAACCAAAAATGGAATCCCATGTCAAAATAAGAGTTTATTCAAAACATTGAAATAAATCACAAATCATATTTAAACAAAATATCCAAAAAATAGTTTGGGCCAAAAAAAGTTTAATGAAGATAAAAGAGTCCAGAGGCACTATTCTAGAATTTAAAAATTCAAACAAGGGTGTAAAAAAGGGATGTATTGATTGTGGCTAACACAATTGCGTCGTAATAGACAACACATATGCAACACGCCACAACCAAGGGCACGTTTTGCTGCAACCAACTTTCATTATATCATGCACCATGGCCAATAATATATCCATTACAAAACACTTTTCCACATTAGCAATTTAACTATTTGAATAGTAAATCAAATTTAAAACACCATAACTTTTGACACACTCATCTAAATTTAATGATTTAAGTGCACACACAAAACTTATAATAAGAACTAGCTATTAGCTTTGATTTAACATAAAAATACCACCACATGACAATTTTATTCACAAAAGACCATTATGGTCACAAAAACACTTCCTTTTTCCAAACAAACCTCACAAATCAACCTCAAAGTCAATCCTAGCCATGGGACTACTTGACCACACCTACTTTACACCATATGACTCACACCAATCATCATTTAAACTATACATGCACAATTTCACCAATTGGGTAATAGTTACCCCAGACACAATTTTATATAGAAACTTGAAATAACTTCAAAACTTTCTAACCTCATCATAAATCTCATACTTAGTTTTGATATTTAAATTCCTTCAAAGTGCACACCCATGAGTGCCAAATTCAAACTCATGAATGACATAAACAAGTTTTGATCCAAATATCATACCACAATGCTCAACATAATGAAACATGCTCTAGGTTTGGCAATATATATCATTAACCAAAAATAAACTAAGCCTAACAAGAAGGGGTGATCGCCCAGACTACCTACGCTTTCGGTGCTCCTTTGGTTGTTCCTTTTTCTGTAAAAATGTTAACCACAGGAAATGAGACACGAGATCTTGGTAACCAAACTAAGACATAATTATGTATGTCATGCAAATAATCATGCAATTATTAAGTGAGACATACAAAACAAATCCAAACATTCCAAGCAAATCCGAACAATTAAAGCATGACCAACAACCTTATCTCCTCCTTTCTCCTAACCTAAATCCACACTTGGTGTTAACTAACATAGCTAAACGTAGGTTAAGACTAAACCCTGACAAGCAGCTTATTGAGTCCAAATGAGGACATTCCACATGATACCTAACAATTTATAAACAATAAAATCTTCAAACATCCTTTCAAACCTAAACAAATCATGCATACAAGTTTATAAACCAAATAGATTACTGAACAATAGTCATAGTTCCAAATATAATCATCATTATATAGATACATTTCATCCCACTTGGCAATTTTTTTGGCAAAACAAAACATATTCACATAATACATTTCCAAACAATATTTTTCAAACAAATAATGGCACAAAACCAATCACACAAGCGTATAATTATATATTAGTAATGGTTACTTTCGCAATTTTTTGCAAAATACTTCCCCTTGCAAGTGATGGATCAATAAGATCACCACCCATAACACCATCTACATAAATTACTCACTCAACATAATTAATTATATGCTTAATCACATAATTAAAATTACCCCAATTCTAGCATTAGGTTAATGAACCTCAACACCCACTCACTCCCTTAAATCTCAACATTCAAACTTAATATTTTTTTAGCATCATTAATCTTATAATACCCATACTTGTTCATCCATAATCAAAATCTCACTCAATACTCACCCAAGCACACCTAGGATTTTGGATTTTGGGGTCCCATAATTTCTATCATGACCAAAACCACATTATTAACACTTATTTAACACTAGTGGACCCTAAAAATTCAAACACAATGCTAGAGCAACAAAAAAAAACAAAACCCTAGCCAAACATTCCACAAAAACAATCTAGAAATGGAGATAGGAGAGTGGGAAAAGAGTGAAATGAGCTTTAGGGATTAAATGCTCTAAAACATGCTACTTCAATACTTTTTACCAAACCTTAGTAGAGGTATCAATTTCGCACCCACACACCTCTTCTCTCCTATATTTCTTTTTTGAAGGGTAACTCAGGTTTAAAAATTTTGACACATGCATCGCACTGCATGATATAAAGGTGACCATTTGGCTCCAGCCCATGCATTTGGGCCCAATACCTGATTTTAAACTCCTAACAGCCCTAATTATCATCCATTGTCATAGTCACATACCTAGATAATTAATGATCCTCAATTAATCTTGATAAAATGCAAATCCTCAATTAAATGCCAAGATTAAAAATCAAGATGTTACAATTTGGGTATCATATTTTACTCAAACCAACTTTTGAAAAGTACTTTTTGAGTATTCTTGAATGTGGATTTGGTAAAAATCATGGGGAAAAGCTTTTGAAACGTAATCCCTCTAATTTTTTTATGACTATTCTACCCCCAATTTTCCAATTACTATTCCACTTTTAACCTTCCTTTATATTTTTTTATTCCTAGGACTATTTTTGTATAATTAATTTCCATTTTACTATTAATATTAATTGATCTTTTCTTAAAAAAACTAGACCAAATACCTCTAAAATAATGGCAATTAAGTATCCAGAAATTCAATCTAAATTATGTTTTGTTCAGAAATTATCAAAATAAACTTCATCTATTGTGTTGGATTTATTAATTTAGCAGCACTTAATTCAGATTAAAGAAATATGACTTTTTTTTTTGCTCCAAATAACAGTTGAGTTGAGGATTTACTATATACAATATACACTGTTTCATGTATCTGTATATTATAGGATGAATCATTTGAATTTTAATGCATGTATATCTCATGATACAAACACACAAATTAGAAAATTCTGCAAAGTCGTAAATACATATAAATAATTTCTTATATTGGATGAAAGAATGAACTTTATTATCTTGTTCCTTTAATCACCTATAACTTAAAGGAGCCATTTTTAAAAATTTCTAATATATAGTTATATAAATAAATCATATCAATACATGTAAATTTGTTTGATTAAATTTATGGGGATTTTACTACTGCAAATCAATAAGACAAAACGATTGAAATAATCTCATAAAAACTGAAGAAAGGATAAAGTATCTTAATACCAAATACTATTATATTATTTATGTATATAATTGGTAAATATTTTACTGTTCATGAAATTAGCGAAGGGAGAATCAAATCTAAGCATCTAGGAAGAAAGTTATTTACAGACAATAACCAATAAAAAGTTCAATTTAAGAAAAAAAAATTGAATCCATGTTCCCATTTTAATAACAATCCATTTTGGATTGATCTTTGTCTGGGAATAAATATTTTGTTAGGTTCTTGAATGTGATTCTCCTATTAATGAAGGTAAATGTCATCCAATAATAGTATTCATTCAAATTAAACAGAAACATCAAAAGATATGATGATATAGAAAATAGATACTTTTATATTTTTTAAAAGGAATTACGATGAAATTATAGAGGACAAAATAGTTTTCCAATTACTAAATAAATTCTAATTTGATAAAGAGAAAGACTTATGTACTTATCCTTATATATTTAATATACTTTTATTTAATAGTTGGGTTTCAATATATTAATAATATTAATTACAAGAATTCGTTGTGAAATAAATAATCTATAAAATATTCAAATTCTTGATTTAATAAAAAATAAGGACTTTGAGTATATAAAATGAAATATTAATAAACTAAAGTAATTCTCTCTAAAGAAGATACATTTATGACATATATAAATTGACAGAGAGTGTATACCAAAAACGACGACACATACAAACACATCTCTTCACAATATAATATATATTTCTCAGAAATTTGTTGAATCGACGTATATATATACTTGGAGAGATCGCATTCCAATAATAACGATAAAACACATCTCTTCACATCTTTATATATATTTCAATTCTCTGTGTAATCTGATGAATCGACAGAGTGATTTCTAACTTCACTCTTCTTCACAGTTTTTCTTGATCTTCATATTCATATCTTTCAGATCAGAGAACAATGACGTCGTCGACTTTGAATTCGCTGGAGACGAACATCGACGTCGTAGACTACTACAAGATACTTCAAGTGTCACGTAAAGCGAATGACGAGGAATTGAAGAAGGCGTACAAAAGACTGGCGATGAAGTGGCACCCAGACAAGAATAATCAAAGTCCCTTGAAGATGAAAGAAGCAGAGACCAAGTTCAAACAGATATCAGAGGCTTACGATGTTCTCGGAAACCCTATGAAGCGAAAGATCTATGACGATGGCCAAATAAGTCCTCTTATAAATAATAATATGACGACGAAGACGACGACCAATACGAATTCTACTACTAGGAAGCGGAAGACCTGTGATTTTGGTTCTCATCAGAATCCTGTCAATAAATTCGAAAGGGTTGAACTGAGAAATCCTGATGACATATTGAAAGCCGCAACCTCAGAACACAAGCTGGTTTTCAGCCTCGACGATCTTTACAAGGGCTGCGAACGAAGATTGAGAATCTCAAGGAATGTTATTGATGCTTTTGGGTACGTAATGATTATATATATGACCTTTGTGTTTCTGGTATTTGAATATGATTTTGAAGTTACATTATATTTTATATCATATGGTTTAGATTTTAACCTTTCTGCTTTGGAGGCCGCCACAAACATATATATATATATATACACGACCTCTGAATCACACAGACGAATAGAGTCATGATATGCTTCTTTCAAGCCTACTTATAAGAAACAATCTCACTATCACCTGCAGAGAAATTTTACTTACGTCTTATTATATACCTCCGTTATAAACTTGACTATGTTAGATTACTTTGTTATCCTTTTTACGGTCCATCTTATCTTGTGCATATGTCAATACGAGTGCCCAATATTGTTATGTAAACTTCCATGAAATTTACAAATCTTAATTTCAGAGAATTTTCATCTAAAGTTGATATTCATAAATTTCTATGAAGATTTCCTTTTATTTTTATAAAATATAAAATCTTCTCTTTCTTCTCTGTAAAGGCAAACTTCATGAAATTTACAAATCTTTACTTCATAGGATTTAAATCTATTTGGTATATCATCTTAGTCTAATAAGAACAGTTGCATATCGGAGATTTTATTTTAAGTTCCTTTCAAATCCTCTAATCCTAATTATATTGTTTTTTGATGAAAATAATACAAACATTGAAATTTTAGATGTTAACCTATTAAATTTAATTTTTTATAAAAAAAACAACAATAATTGGCACAGAAATGATTAAAATAGAGGACTAAAAATATATTTTATAAAATTAAGGGACCAAATTAAAACCTCATAGAAAGTTATAGCACCAAATGTACAATTTTGCTGGGTATCTATTATTTTTTTTCAAATATATATATATATATATATTGTATATACAATTAACTTTTAACACGTTTTTTTTTTTTTGGTAGAAACATGATGACTGTTGATGAAATATTGACTATAGACGTGAAGCCTGGTTGGAAGAAGGACACTAAGATAACTTATCCTGGAAAAGGTAATCAAGCACCAGGATTTCCTTGTCCTGCTGATCTGGTATTTGTGGTGGACGAGAAACCTCACGCCATTTTTAAGAGAGAAGGAAATGATTTGGTGACCACTCAGAAGATTTCACTTATAGAGGCTCTCACGGGAAAGACAATCAAAGTTACAACGTTGGATGGGCGAGAAATTGAAGTTTCTGTCACAGATATTGTGAAACCAGACACTGAGATTGTGATCCAAGACGAAGGCATGCCATCCACAAGTAAACCAGGCACAAAAGGAAACCTCAGAATTAAGTTTGATATAATTTTTCCTACGCAGCTTACTGCTTCGCAGAAGAGTGAACTGAAAAATATTTTTAGTCTAGTTGATAATTAACTCTTTAAATTGTTTCACCGAAGAAGTTCAATTATTAATAACGTGTACCGTGAATGCCGTGTCCTATTACACTTTTTTTTGTACTTTTGTATGGATATTGATGAATAATATACTTTCTATGACTTATGAATAATATGATTTTTTATTTTATATTCATTTTTGAATTTTTATACTAAAAATACTAATTAATTTTTAAATATTTTTATATTTTGAAAAAATCCACAAGATTTCAAAAGTTGTTTACATTTTTGAATCAGTATCCTACTTTTGCTTGGATTTGAATTTGGTAAGTGTCCTAAGTATACTCAATGAGTGTCTCATTTGCATCAGGTGAGTGTTTATCATAAAAAAAGGAGTGCTGTGTTGATTATTTTGAATTTTTGGAGAGAAACATATATTATATATTGATAATTTTTAAGTATTAATAAAATCCAACATCTATAACTGAGACACTTACTGAGTAAATTTATTTAAAATACTCACTAAATCCAAATGCATTTTGTGTTGGGCTTATCACTATGTATCTACGTGGAAATCTCTATCTCTTTGTTTATTTGATAGCGCAATCTATCTTTATATCACAAACATAAACTTATATGAATAACAGATATCTAATTTTATATATTTCTTATTGATTGAAATATCGAATCAATAATAAGTGTACGATATCAATAAGTATATCTTATATATATTATACCCAATTAATAATCTTCATTAATTAATATGATTGATTTGATTGATTGAAATTTTAAAAAATACTTCATTAAATTTTATTTCAGTAATTTTTTGTACAAATCTTTTTTATGATATTTTCTTTACCAGAAATTTTCGTAATATTATTTCTATAGTTCTTAATATAGAATGTCCAAGAAATAGTTTAAAAAAATAATAAGCATCGAATGGAAGAAATTGAAGTTATTAATGCATCACTCAACAATGACAAAGCAAATTAATTAAAAAGAAACAATGGAAGAATTAATGCCACAATAGTTGGAGAACTAAGGGCTCGCAACCCTTGTCTGTAAATCTTCTCCTTAATTTGCTCTGGAGTTAATCTTTTAGGAATGTGAGAGTATATCTTGCAAAAAGGCTTGGTTTGGATTCACCATTATAATTTATAGCCTTGAACTATGATAGTATATCTCTAATAGATTAGAGTTTTTATGTGAAACTCTAAAATTTGGATTCACCATTATACTTTATAACCTTGAACTATAATATATCTCTAATGGATTACAGTTTTTATGTAAAACTGTAATTTAAATTTTCAATTTTTGGCTAACGATATTCAAAATGCCTTTTAATTTGAAATAAACAAGTTTCCCAATCTTTTAGTTTGAAAAGGTAATCTGATAACTAAGTTTTAAGATGAGCAACTTTTATTTGAATACAATTTATTATTTGAATGGATCATGTGTGGAGTGAGCTGCTGGTAGAATTTTATTCAAATAATGTGCATGAATGCGCATAGTTCTTTAATGAGAACAACTTTTTACATAAAATTATTTAAATAACTACTTGATGTATTCATATAAATATGTCCTCCCATGACCTATGGAAAGTTATTCATTGGTTTATTGAAATAAACCTTTTTTGTACAGGACAATTCTAAATTCCAAATGATTAATGATGGGATCCAACTAATTGAAAATAATACAATAACTGTTCATCAGGAATTTTATAGCTCAACTATGAAGCTCTATAAAATTTAAATAGAAGCCATACTTTCATTGCAGATTTTGAAAATCTCCATGTACACTACATTGTTTTTGTTTTGGGCCTATTCTTAGAATCATGAATAAGCATTTTAAGCTTATCAACACTTTTCGCCCTTGGTAGAGCTAAATACAATTGTCTGAGTGAAAACTGGCCTTAAGAGATATAACCCAATATTTTGCAAAAGTTGACCCAAACTTTTGTTAGTAGTCATTTCAAAGGACAAAACAGTAGGGAGTCTATGCTACATATGGAAAAGCTACTTACTTTTTAATTGGTTCATGTCCATTTTGTGGATTTGTACTTGGAATCATTTCAATTATTGCTTCAATATATCATTCTAGCCTAGTTTGGAAACACATAATCAAGTACCATTACATAAATTAGTTGCTTGGTCAACATTTCTTAATTAACAGCATTATCGGTGCTCTAGCTTTCAATGTAAGCTATTGTGCAAGTAGTCTAGAACCTTCTATAGTGTTTAAGAATTTTGTCATGTACAGGTCATCAAATAAATCACTATCTTGGGTGAACTTGCATATTGAATCTAAATGTAGTAACAACTTTACCTAACAAAAGCACACACATGAAGTCATTTACCCTTTTGACACATTCAATAATAGGGACTAATATAGTTTGATCATTGAAATACTTAAGATTCTTCAAATTGTGCTCTAAGTCGGGGTATGTGGAATTCACAATTTCAAGTACATCTGCCCTTGCTTTGGCCTCTTCCACAAATTCAATCCATTTTCATCTCATTTTGTAAAAATACACCACAACAACAACAACAAAACACTTTTTACTACACTAAATAACATCACTTTTTATAAAAGTGAAGTAAAAAATAGTCACAGTGGCAATTTGTAATTAAATTTCAAGTCAGAAAGTGTAACATCCCAAAATTTTAAGACTCGGATTTATAAAGATAAAATAAGATAAAATATCTATAATTAAATTAAAATTTAGAATAATTTGATAGAGGTCCAGAGTTTGAATTTTACTAAGCAAAAGTTTAGTTTTATTTGATTTTTAACTATGGAAAAATTACCAAAGTTGACCCAGGCTTTTGTGCAATAATAAAAAATGTTGGGCTATGTCTTGTAATTTTTCCCAAACTTTTAGATCAGCTTTTATAAGAGGAAAAACAGACCAGAAATGCAGAAAAGAAAACAAGGAAAGAAAGGAAACACGTGAGAGAGAGAGAGAGAGAGGAAGAAGAAAGGAGAAAGAGAGGGAGTTAGGCTCGGATCTAGGAGTCTTTGCGACCGTTGCGAGCTCGGCTACACGATAGGTAAACTCTCTACTTCAATCCTCTTCTCTTTCTCTTAATTTTCTTCAATTTTTGGAAGAGGAGATTTTTAGATTTTGATCCCAAAGGCTTTATTCTTGTAAGCTTTTGTTTCTTTGGATCCTAGGGAGCATGTTTTGAGTTTCTATATAGTGATCTAATGTTTTGAGTGGATAATTGGATGAAAAGAGGTATTTTGGGCACAAAATAAATCCTGAGAAATTGGGTTTTTGCTCTTCAATGGTTTAAGCTTATTGATTTAGTTATAATTTTGCTATTTGAGCCCAATAAGATTTAAATTAAGGTTTGGTTTTCATTATAAGGGCTAATGGTGAAAGTTGGTGGCACTAAGTAAAGGTTTTTAATTGATAAAAAATTATATAAATTAGAAATTTAGCCTAGTGATGGCTAATAAATGGTTTTGGTGGTTAAGTGATACTATGTGAATGGTTGGTTTAATATATGAACTATTGGGATGGATTATGGCTCATAGACCCAAGTTGTGTGGTATGAGTTATAGTCTTCATTAATGCTATTTGTCATGATAAGTGATGTGGATCACTTATATGTTGTAGAAAATTGTTGGCGGAACTTATTGAGAAGTAAGGAACAAGCCGAGCCCTATTTTGTACAAGGGGAACCCTTTTGGTACCAAAGGGTTGAGGTAACAGGGGAATTTATATTTTTTATTACTTTGTTTTAGCTATTTTTGAATAAATATTACTAGTTATCATGCATTACATGTTTTAAAACATTAAATGCGCTTTATAAGGGGTTATGGGGTACTACTTTGATTATAGTACAAATCTGTTTTCTAATTGTTTAATAACAATGTTTTTATGAAAATGAGATTTATAAATATTATACTACTTTAGAGTGTTGAATGGTCAATACTCAGGAAAGGTAGACAAGAGTAAAAGGCATGATCTCGGTGGGAGTTCACCAATGAGAAGGTGTGGATTTTTGATATTCTATGGCACACTGTCAGTACTCAGTGTTGTCTTACGTATTGTGGGCTCAGTGCACTAAAGTGGTTAGTGTATTGAGTGTTCGACACCACTCAGTAGGGGAGGGAATCCAACATATGAAGTGTGAGGTTGAGTGCCTAGGCCAAGGTAGCCCTCACATGGAAAGTAAGTTGGGCTGGCTCTGGGAGGCAGTTAGCTTCAACTACTTAGGATTCACGTCGAAGGGGCATAGGAGGTTCGGTGGATTAGATCATGCCTTAGATTATGTTTTGTGCCTGTGGAGGTACAAGTAGGTATAAGGTTTACCTGCGAGTTAAAGAGTGCCAGGGGGCATTCTGTTGGTCATGAAAGGCCATACCGGCCTAGGTCATGCATTCATGCATTTTAAATGGCTAAATTATATACTATGTTGAATTTATTATTCGTTTATTTGATTATGGCTTACTTTGTAATAATCAATGTAGATTTCACTATTACTGAGACTGTGGTTGTCTCACCCCTTTCTTTTCAATATTCTAGGTCCAGGCGAAGGATCCAGTGGTGGATGGGGAAAGGAGCAAAGCTAGGGGTTTGCTTGTGATTTGTAAAGAACTGCAACCCCTTTCTTTTGAGCAAATATATTGTAATGTATTTAAGATTAGGGTGCCAGTAGGATATGATTATGTGTGTGTGTGTGAATATGTGTGGATTGTGTGCTTGTGTATGAATTTTTGTCTGTTTGCAGACTTGTGGCTAGGAAACTTGGTTATGGTGTGTGGTTTTGATGGATTTACTTAATAGACCAAGTTTCTATTACAAGCAGATCTTTATTTTGATATATATGTGATTTTATAAGCAAATGCAAAGTGGTTGCATTGCAAATGATGTGCTATGGGCAAACATACAGCTTGGATAGAGAGAGTGGGTGCGTGGGCCCCACAAGGAGCTCTGAGCCAAGTGAAAATGTTTAGCATATGCGTTTATATAAATACGTGGTATTTAGATTGATTTGTGACCACTCTTGTATGATTTGTGCATTTTGGGGG